TGGAGCCTCCCTGTCCCCGTTACCGCTCTCATTCGGTGCTGCCCACATTTCCCAAAATCGTGGGTTGCGAAGCTTTCCTTATTTGCTGTGAGGTGGGAAAGCTGTTGTGGGAAGGGTTGGGCTAAGTTCCCTTCGGTTCAGACTTTCTACTGGTTAAAAACTTGCTTTTTTTAATTAAAAAAAAAGAGAACCTGGAGCCAGGCATGGGGTGTAAAAACTCCCTTGGGGGCTGCCCCGAAGGATCGCAGTGTCTCCATCTCCGCAGCGCTCTGCCGCTGGTGCCAAAGCCGACTTCTCCCACTCTGCTGGAGCGCGAGCATCCCGGTATTTCCCACATGGGAGAGGAAAGCGTTTCTGCGGGCAGAGCTGGGTGTCTTGCTCTCATCCCCACCATCCCCACCATCGTGCTGCCTCATAGCACCAGCTGGTTTCCTCGCTCATACCAGTAAGCCGGAGGCAGCACCCAGGTGTCCGCGTGGTTGGGACAAGACAGCATCCTTGCTGAAAGCGTGGGGTTTTGCTTTGCTTTCACAGTTCCTCTGCAGAGGAGGAGGAGGAGGAGGAGGAGGAGGAGCAGGACATGATGGAGCAGAGCTGCTCTCAGCTGGCCCTGCTCAAAAGATGTAGGATGCAGGAGGGAGAGGCACGGGGTGTGCAGGCAGCTCCGCTTTGGGAAAGGGATCTGCCGGTGTTTGCCGTGGTGGGGTTTCCATAACTGGAGGGTGGTTGGGAAGCTTTGCCGGTGAGGTTTTGACTCTGCGGGTGGGTGCAAAATCCCAAGGAGCATCTCTGAAAGAGTCACCTGTAGCTGTGCCATGGGTGCGGAGGGCAGTGCAGGAGAGGGGCCCTGGAAGGGCCGGGGACATTCCCAATCCCACTGGGATGCTCCTCTGGAGCTGCCTCCTGCGAGGGTTGAGTTTGCTCTGAAGGATACCAGGTTGGGAGAAGGGATTCATCGACATGAACTCCGAGTGGGAGCAGGGCGAGTTCATTCGAGTGCTTGGTTTTGGTGCTGAGCATCGCCAGTGGAGCTGGAGCCAGGCAGAGCCAGGCTGGTGCTCTGCGGCACAGTGCCTGCGGCCGCGCTTCGGAGGTTTCTCCGCAAGCAGCGACTGGGAGATGGTCGGGACCGTGCCAAAAAAAAGCCTGGGGAGCTGTTTGCTCCGTAGGCATCGAAGCCCATCGGGCTCAGCCGTGCCGGGGGG